CGCGCATGAGAGGAAGCAAAAAAAAAACAAAATATTTTACGCGCGATTTGCGTCAATGAGAAAAGGCCACAAAGACAAGCCAATTGAGGAGCAGTGCGTGTGGCGTATGTGTGCGTGTGTGCGTGTGTGCTGCTATTTTTTGCAATTAAAACACAAAAATAAACTCAATGCGCAGTAAACAAATCAAGTGTAAATTATATAGAAGTGGCATGAGCAGAATTTATACACATGCCATATGCCTGGCCATTATTGAACAAAGAAAATTGCAGTTAATATATTAACCTAAAAATACACGCACACATGCAAACACATACACATACATATGTATAGTGTTCAGCGCAGAGGAAACAGCTACTAAAATCCGCAGTGGGACAACTGAAATAAAAATTTTTAAAACCAATAAAGCAGTAAAACATACAACACATACATACATACATACAAACATGCACGCACGCACGCATGTATATTGCATGAGCTAAAAAGAGAAGGAACGCGATAGGAAGAGGCGTCGAGCGCAGAGATACAACTTGTCGCAAGCAAACCGCAAAATGAAACAAGCCCAAGTCGAACATATGAAACAGCAACAACAACGACGACAATGAAAAGCGGCAACAACGCATGATTATTGACATTGCGTTACCCTTCTTGCAGGCAGCGACGGACGGCGACGGCGACGGCAGCAGTTCAATCTGCTTGTTTGGTCTGTCTACGCTCGGGTCTTGAAACTGCCGGCACGGCCAGGTCTGGCCCTGCCTCCGCCTTTGCCACGACTGTGTGTTGTTTACCTCAGCAGAAACTGAATTTCAACCAAAGCAAAACGAGAGCCAACCAACAACAACAACAGCAACAACAGGCAGCAACAGCCCTCAACTTCGCTGCTCGCGTCGCTGCCATTGACGCTGCTGTTGGAGCTACACAAAACTCCACCACGCCGCGACGTTGTTTGTCGCTGTCTTCTTTTCTTCAACTTTGTCTGCTGCCTACCAACACTGATACACACACACACACACACACAAACACACGCATTTACATTTTATGCTCGTTTACTGCTGTGTTGTGTTTATTTCGCCGCCTGCACACACATTTTTATGCTGTACCTCGCTCGCTCTCTTACAACTCTCTCTCTCTCTCTTTCGCTCTGTTGTAATCGCGCCCTCACATTTCGACTGTTGCCTGCTGCGCGGGTGCCGCAAATGTTTTTGCTTTTGGTTTATTTGCGGCAACCCTTTGGGTTTTGTTGCAATTGCCTTTGCTTTTATGTTGTCTTGACATGTAAAAATTTACTAATTGGATTTTGTTTTTATGCACATGTCAGACAACATGTGTAATTGATCCGCACAAGCGCTCTCTCACACACGCGCTCTCTTAAGCGCTTGCTCTTTGACTCGCTGACTGACATTCGCAACGCGATCTTGTTTTTTTTAAGTGTGTGTGTCTGTGTGTGTAGGTGATTGCTAGGCTTTTTGTAATTATCTCGCGTTTGTGTAAAACGTAAAATGTTTCCATCATTGCATTTTGCGCTGATTATCTGTGGGGATTTTCAATTGAACTGAGATTAAAGGGCAATGAAAACAGAAACTGTACAGTTCGTGTGCGTATGTTTATGGTGTATTGGAACCGTTGACATTTGCAAAATACATTTAAAAGAAGGAGAAAAAACAAACGCTGTTGATAACATCTTGACATTAACAGCGACGACGACGCCAACAGCAAAGTCTACTGCGTTTACGTTTACGTTTTCGGCGTCAATGAGCGCGACGCCAGCGAAGGTGAGAGCAAGTAGCAAAGTGCAAGCAGCAACAACTGCTTATTAAATGCAAGACGAGTGTGCATAGCAACACACTCACACACACACATGCACACGCACATGTGAGTAATTGAGACGAGCGTGCGAGTGAAATAGCTGCAACTGGTATTGGTATAGGTGTGTAATGAGTGAGAATGAATTAAGTGTCGTTTAAGCTGATGTGTTCGCCGTAAGAAATGTATATTTATTAGCAACGCTGCTAAAATTTACCTTATAATAAAAGTGACGTCAGCATGTCGAACAGCTGATTTCGCTACCTGCATGTTATCATGTACAGCCCTTGCATCGGGCAGGCCAAACAAGACAATAAAATTTGAAGAAAAAAAAGAAAAACCCACAATATTGACAATATAAGCCACTTTATCGCTGTGCGTTCGTGTCTGGCCCAAACAAATGCCTTCCCGGAAATCCATAACAACAAGCACATAAACAGACCGTTGCACAGCACGTGAAGATGTGCCAAAGATGAGCCAAATCCGCATTACCCGCGGCTGGTCACCTCTAAACGCACCGTAATTTTCTAACTCTCTCTCCCACTACTCGAACGCGCGCTCTCACTCTCTCGCATTGTGTCGCTCTCGCTCAATGTCACGAACACGACACATGCCAATAATGCTAATGAGCGCAAATGCGTAAACGAGCCAAAAACAAAACTTTGGATTGCGGGTGTGGAAAGAAGCAGCTGGCTGCGGCGTTAGCTGAGCATCTACCCCCCACTCCCCCCCCCCCTTCATTCGCTGTGCACCATATGTGTGCGTGTGTGTGTGTGTGTGTGTGTGTGTGTGTGTGTGTGTGTGTGTGTTTGTGTTGTTGTCTGTCCGCTTTCGCACACAAATCATTACATTATCCTGCACACTCAAAAACTCTGACCACACTCGAACTCTAGCTCTTGCTCGCTCTCTCTGCTTGCTTGGCTCCCTGACTGGCTGCTTGTAGCTCTTCATCAGGTTTACTGTGCACGTTCTTAAAATGTTTTTGGCGAGGAGTAGCATAAACAACAACAACAACAACAATAACAAGAACAACTGCAAAGAAAAGCAGAAGCAGCAGATGAAGAGCTTCAGCCATAACCGCAACTTGGCCAATTTTGGCAAAAACAAGTGACAAGCAGACAAAAAGGAGAACGCAATGGAACGGGCGAGACTGGACCGGACCGGAACGATAAACAAGACAGCTACAACAACAACAACAACAAGAGCAGCAGCAGCAGCGCCTAGTGATGGGCGCTTAGTGGTCGAGTCGAAACGGGCCAATGTACTATTTATGTGTATGAGCAAGTGTGTGTGTGTGTGTGTGTGTGTGTGTGTGTGTGAGTTGTGTGTGCACATTTTGGGCCAATAAGTCACACAAACAGTGAAACAAACAAACAAACACAACTGGCTACTGCAATTGGCAACAGCCGGATGCCTTTTGCCAACACTTTGGCAAACGATCAACGCTCACAAGGAGAAGGCGGAGAAGGAGCAGAAGCAGAAGGAGAAGGAGGAGAAGAAGCAGATGAAGCATAAGTCGCTTATGGGCAATGCGTATGCGAATGCAACATTCATCACAGAGTAACGCACACACATACACATACACGCATGTGCACATGTTGCCATATTTATGCGCTGCAGCATTGCAGACGCTTTTAATGTCTTTTTACAGCATCTTCCACTCTTCATTATCGTGTCATCAATATGGAAAGAACAATTGCAATGCGAAACGCAAGCGTTGCCAGACAGCCAAAGTTCGCATTGTTACATAAAGACAAATACATATCTAGACACACACATACACATACATACATACATGTATTGATTAGTTTGCGGCAGAGTTAAGAGATTTCTCTGTTATTTTGCATACTAAGTGGCAAATGCGAATAGTGGGAAAGAGAGAGAGAGAGAGAGAGAGAGAGAGAGAGAGGGGGGCATAGTGAAAAGAGACAGCAGCTGGCAATGCAATAAGCAAACCTCAAGCCGCAAACAACAGCTTGCAAAGCACCTGGCTAAGCGAACGGGGGGGATGCGGGGGCAACGGCAGGTGCGAAATAGGCGGTCAACTTGAGGTTAAATCAGTTCATAATCTCAAGAAATTGAATTCAAACTATTTGCGATGAGAGGAAATTTCATAACAATCAAATGGGAAAACAAGTAAAATTCCAAATGGAATGCTTGAATGTGGTTAGTCGACCAAGAGACACCCTGTAAACAGCAGCTCAATGGATTTGGAGTAAACTAAGCATGTCGTCGACTAGGAAATACCCTGTAGTCTGGGCACAATGGATTATGAGTACAGTATGCATGTCGCTGACTAGGAAACACCCTGTACACATCAGCAGCAAACTAAAGGACACCCTCTAAGATAAACTGTAGCACAATTGAGTATTTAAACGAAAAATACGATTGATACTCAAAAATACGAGTTTAGAGAAACTTAAATTGTACTTTTTATTGTTTTCTTTTCAATTTCATCATTTCATCATTTGTTATTTTAAACCAAAGCAGCAAATATTCAATATCTGGCAACTCTGCGATGCGAGTATTTTCGAGTAAAAACTATTCGCATTCCAGGAACTGAAGGGCAGGCGCATAGATTGTTTTATTTACCAAGGAAAATATTTGTTTTTCAACGTTCGTGATAATTCAATTATTTACGCTGTACCACATCCAATTTACATAAATAAAAAATAACTAAAATCAACTGAAACCGATTCAGGTTAAAAAATTCCTAATGAATTCTTAATTACTCAAAAGTTAGCCACGGAAATATGTAGCATGATAATTAAAATTCCATCAGACGTGTTTTTTTTTTGTAAATTTTCCCATTAAATTTGTTTAAGTTTATTGTTTAGGTGCAATTTTTGAGGAAGAAAAAAGATACGCACAAGTGGAACTTCAGATGATGATAACAAAAACAAAAAATTGATAAATATGAAAATCGATAGTTTGACATCGATATTCGATACAAATAAAAATGTTTGTTTAACAGCAAAAGAGAGTACGAGCGAGTACAGCTCTGTTATTCTAGCGATCTGTTGCGTTCCAGCCTCTCTTAGTTCTTATCATGTTATTTTTAGATATTTTGTGCAAGCCATGTTTAGTTCTGTCAAAATTGTCTTCCCACAACGCTCTGTTCCCACTTAACTGTTCCCACTTTAATTGCCTACGATTAAGATCTGGTGTTCCATTTCCGCTTAATTTCAATTGGCACTTACCTCTTCAGCTGCTTGGGTGGCGGCCACCAGCAGAACTAACAGCAGCGCTGAGACCAGCATCCATTTACCGTTGCTGGACAACGGCGACGTCAGCTGCGCAGTTTTCAGCTTTGATTTCATTTTACTGGCGTGGGTGATGGCTGCGTTGTTGTTGTTGTTGTAGTTGTTGTTGTTGGGTTGTTGCAGCGGCAGCAGTTGTCGAGAAATTGATGCCAGATTTGTTTATATAGCGGCGATTGGCAGCATAAAGAGCTTAGCAAAAACGATTGCGTTTGTTTAGATTTTAAAGAAATTTGTGTATGCTTTGTAAATGCAATTTAGAAACTGGTACACGCTGATCAATAGAAATGAATTAAATAAAACACGCGCTTTAAATTTAATTTATGCTTTCATATATGTAAATGCACAGACACAGGCACTGAAACATTTTGGCAATGAAACAAGCAATCGCGATTTATCAATTGAATTTCAAACAAAACGCGTATAAAAACAATTCAATTGCGCGCTGCGAGCACATGTGTGTGTGTGTGCGAGAGAGAGAGCGAGAGAGAGACTATCATCAATAACACATTTATTCATTTAATTTTCAATGATTAACAGCAATTTTTAGTGCGCGCGCGGCTAAATCAAAGCAACTAACGGCAGAGGCGGCCGCGGATGGGAGGTGTGCGCGAGCAGAGCGCAAAAGAGAATAAACAACAAGATTACTGCACGAAGCAGCTGGCCAAAGGCACGGCCAGAGAGACAGACGCAACAAAACAAAAATGATAAAATGAGACAGCGGAGCGACAAGAGCGCAACCAAAAGGTGTCAGCAGAAGCAGCAGCGAATGGCTGCCTGAGCGTTTGTCAGTGTGTGTGTGTGTGTGTGGGCAGGCAGTGTTGGTGAGCATAGAACTAAATTACAATAGCAGCAAGCACATAAATACAACAAATAAATACAAATGCTTTTGCATTTAAATGTGTGAAATGAAAACGTTTTTAGCTGCAATTTGTTTTGCGTAGAGGGCGCTTTAACTTGATTTTCCGCCCACCATACACACCACTACCTACACGCACAGACAACTCATACACACACACACGCGCAAACAAACACAGGCGCGCTCGTCGCGTACACGCACGCACACACACACATACAGTGAGAGACACAGTTCATAGCGGTGGCGGCTTCTTTATGTTTTTCTTCTTTTACTTTTGCTTGTTTGCGTTTGCTTCACTAAACGAAATATTTCATTTATTTTTGGCTTGTATTTCGAGCGAATTAAACCGTTTGCGCTGATAGGCACCTTATTTATTTAATTGCACGTCGTATGCCGCATTATTTATTACAATTACAACAAATTCGTTGTAACAAATTGTTAAATTTCTTTACACTTGAACTGAGAACGCGCAATACTCCCGCGTCCGACACCTTCAACGGTTTTTTTTCGACTAATGTTAACGGGCTATGTTAACTAACAGCGTCTGCAGTGGCTGGGCGGACCATGCTCTACACTTTTGGTATTACTAAAATAACCTTAAAAATACCAAAATGCATGTTAGTGCATGGTGCTTAACATAGCTGCTCATCTGTAGTTGTCGTTTATCCTTTATCGCAATACGGTCAGACTGCTCATCCATTTCGAACATATTTTGCAAGAAAAATTAAACAAAAAGAAGTGGGTAAATAAGGTAATTCCAATAATTTTCGACCGAAAATGGATGTGCAGCGTAAACACTGATAAGACAATTGATCGACAGCCAACGCAGCTCGCATCTATTAGCGCTATGAATCATTATTTGCCCTGTTGTCTTGTTTTTGCGTCTCTGCTGGGAACGTTCGTTCCCCCTCAGCAATTCCAATAGCCACCCCCCGTCCATCCCACCGTCCGCCCGCGCACTTTGCGAAAAATTTTCACCCAAAACAAGCTGCTCTCAATGTCTATTACGTCTTTCGTTTCAGGCTTAAATGCTAGCCGACTAGTTACAATGGATCTGGTGGACATCGATCAGGTCCTGGACAATCTGGAAGCTGAGCTTAAAGGTGCGTCCGTTCCCATCTGCCTCCAACTGTGCACACTTTTTATTAACAATTAACTCTTGCAGCGGACGAGCAGCTGAGCCGCAATGCAACGGCCGCGGCGGCAACTGTAAGTGTGGGCGGCGAGTCACGCCCCATGGGCGATGGCAGCGCGGGCGCAGCCAAAAACTTTGTGGGCGTCTCTCAGGTGTTCAACAGCCTCAACGATTACCGCAACAATGTCCAGTCGCTGGCCACGGAGCTGCAGGCGCACGAGAGCTACGACTGGACGGCGGAGGGGCAGGCAGCGAAGCCGGAGAAGCAGCAGCCGGAGCAGGAGGAGTACGAGGAGGAGGAGGAGCTGGCCCGGCACGAGGACATTAACAAGTTTAGCGAGTCGCAGGCCCAACAGCTGAAGGAAGCCGATGAGCTGAACGTCTCGACCGAATCGCTGACCACCTCCTCCTGTTCGACCTTCTCCTCGGGCCCGTCACCCGGCGCTGTGAGCAACTCGGACGAGCAGGAGCTGAGCACACCGCCCGAAAGCGAAAAGCCCAGCGCTCTGGAGCTGCCGCCCAAGGCAAACGGCGAGCCGGCGCCGGAGTCGCATCCGTCGCAACAGCAGCAGCAACACGCATCGGCTGCTGTGGAGGACTTGGCCATGGGTCTCTCCTCCATATCCCTAACCAATACCAACACAACAGAATCGCAGTCCATATTGCCCTGTGAAGTGACCGCCTCCTCGGCCCTGGACAAGGTGCTCAACGAACTGTCCGAGGAGAGCAGCACGGAGCTGGACACGCAGAGCCAAGCGCGTGCTGCCGCCGACAAGAACATGGACACGGACATTTTGCCAGCGGTAAGTTCGTGCAGCAATATCCAAACTAAACCTAATCCTCAATATGTTAGGTGCCTCAGCCGGAGACTTTGACAGCTCCGGACGAGCAGCAGCAGCAGGAGCAACTGCAGGCGCAGCAGCAGCAGCCGGAACAGCAGGCGGAGCTGGCGGCCAAACGCAGTCAGCCGCTGACTTTCTGCTCGACCATGGATGAGATCTCGGACACGGAGCTGGACAGCATGCTGCAGGAGGTGGAGGTGGATATTGAGGTGGAACCAGAGCCAGCAGCTACCTCCAGCTCCTCCTCCGAATCCTGCCAGCACCCGATACACGAAATGATTGAGGTTGATGACGACGACGACGATGACGACGAAGATGATGACGGCGCCACCGAATCGCCAGTCACTGAGGAGGAATCTGTGCGCATACTCTCCGAGCAGGAGACCAACTCGGCGGACCAAATGAACGTGGACAACTTCTCGCAGGCCTCCACAGTTGAATTTGCCGAGCTGCGCGCACACGATGCGGCGCCAGTCACAGCCGAGGAGCTGCCCTCATCTTTCAGCAGCACGGCCAGCGATACGGATTCCCTGTCTGGCCGCAAGCTGGAGGATGACGAGGAGACCGTAGGCACGGATGCACTGGAAACGCAGGAGCAGCGACCGCAACGTCCGCAAACGCTGGATCTGAACGGCGGCTACCAGACGAATGCGGGCCAGACGCCGCCGCCGGGCGCCGAGCAGGCGACGGATCAGTCAGAGCTGCAGTCGAATGCTGCAGCGGCGCCGGCAGCTGGCGCCGAGGATGAGGATGACGACAGTCCCATCTATGAGGCCGTCGGCTACAGTGATCCGCACGCGAATCTCGGCAAGGTGCCGCCCATCTGGGTGCCCGACAACATGGCCGGCCAGTGCATGCAGTGCCAGCAGAAGTTCACCATGATCAAGCGGCGGCATCATTGTCGCGCCTGCGGCAAGGTCCTTTGCTCCGTTTGCTGTTCGCAACGGTTCCATCTGGAGTTCGCCAATGAGCCGGAGTCGCGCGTCTGCGTGCAATGCTTCATGATACTCACCGAGCGGCAGGCCAACGGCGGCGTCTCCGATATGTATGCGGGCGCACCACCGGCTGCGCTGCCGCCGACGCCGATGCGCTCACCCAATCCAAATAATCCCATGGAGTATTGCTCAACTATACCGCCGCATCGCCAGGTGGCGGCCGCCGACGCTCCGCCGCCCAGCGTCATTGTGCCCGTGGGCGTGCTGAAGAAGACCGACGGCAGCTCGTCGAACTCCAGTTCCGACAGCAAGAAGGGGCGCAAACGCAAGAGCGTCATGTTCAGTGATGGCATTGCACCCGGCAGCGAGCTGGCCAGCACCATGGAGCAGCAGTGGGGCGAGGCCAAGCAGGCGCGTCGAGGCCTGATGCGCAGCAACAGCGGCGCCGGCCAAAAGCCGCCCACGCCCGGCGCCAACAGCAGCGGAGGTGGAAGCGCAAGCAGTATTGACAATACCATGGGTCTGGTGGCGCAGCTATTCCGTGGCTCCATACCGCCCAGCGCGGCGGCGGCAACACTTACAGCGGCTTCAGCGGGCAGCCAAGCATCAAGCGGTAAGTCGTGCAGGGTTCACCAAATTGTGCTCAAATGACACTTGGCTAAAGTGCACTCAAAGCTTTTGATTAATTTGAAGGGAGAGTAAAGTTTTAAATTTATATTGCATCACGCTTTCGCTCTCTCTATTAAATATCGCCTTTCTATGCGATTCTCACACATTTATGTTATGTTTGTTTTTCCTCTTCTTTTAGCTGGTCGCAATACAGCGCAAAGCTCGCCGCGTCGCAAGGCGGAACCGCAGCGTTCCCGCAAATTGCCGCCCAGCGATGCTCAGGGCTGTTTCATACCCTACGAGGAGAACGCCCTGCCCCCCATCTGTGTGAGCAGCAGCGGCAACAGCAACAGCATCTGTGATGTGGAATACAAGGAGGTGCGCAATGATGCGGATCTCTTGGAGCGTTTGCAGCGCGAGACGCTCAAGTTCATTGTAAAGAACAATTTCTATGTGCTGGTCAAGGTGGTCAACAGTGAGTATCCAATTCGAGTACTTCTCTAAGCTGGAGCTAATCCTTCAAATTCTTGCAGTGAGCTGCTGCATGAATCGCTGGGTGCTCAACTTTACCACATCGGGTCTGCATCATGTGGGCAACGATGAGCTGATCATACTGCTGGAAATCAAGCCGCCGCCAGCAACTGGCGGTCCGACTGTGCCGCGCGATATATTCCAGCATCTGTACGAGGTCTATGTGGAGGCAGAGCATGCACGTTCCAGCACCCAGGAGCTGGCCTTCACAAGTCCACGCAGCGCCAACTTTCTGGGCTCGCGCGAGCACGGCGGCTTCATCTATATCAGGCCGACGTATCAGTGCCTGCAGGGCGTCATTGTGCCGGACAATCCGTATCTGGTGGCTGTGCTGATCCATCGGCACGAGGTGCCCTGGGCCAAGGTGTTGCCGCTGCGGCTCATATTGCGCCTGGGCGCACAGTATCGCTACTATCCTTGCCCGCTGATCTCGGTGCGCAATCGTGAGTCTGTCTATGGGGAGATAGCCCAGACGATTATCAATTTTCTGGTGGATTTTCGCAACTATACCTACTCCCTGCCGGCCATACGTGGCCTCTACATACACATGGAGGAGCGGCAGACGACAGTAATTATACCACGCTATCGCCAGACGGATGTTATCAAGGCTATTAACAATGCCACGGATCATATACTTGCATTTGCCGGCAACTTCTCGAAAGTGGCCGACGGCCATTTGGTTTGCATGCAGAACATCAACGATGATCGGTCCGAGATGTATGCCTATTCCACGCAGGCGATCAATATACAGGGCCAGCCCAGAAAGATAACGGGTGCCAGTTTCTTTGTGCTCAACGAGGCGCTCAAGAGCAGCAGCGGCCTGTCCGGCAAGTGCAGCATTGTCGAGGACGGGCTCATGGTCCAAATTATGCCAGCCAAAATGGAGGAAGTGCGTCAAGCGCTGCGCAATCAAACGGACATCGACATCGTCTGTGGGCCCATCGCGGCCAGCGAGGAGCAAAGCGAAATTGTCAGCATCAAGTGGGTGGATAATGATCGCGAGATCAATGTGGGGTAAGTTGTCAAATAGTTTTCGAGTCTCTCAACTATTCTGATTTACATTTTCTCATGTTTTGCAGCGTTAAGTCGCCCATAGATGACAAGCCCATGGACGGTGTGGCCAATATGCGTGTGCATGCCAGCTTTAACTATTCCAATACCAATTATGCGATACGTTTGAGCGATATTTTTATTGTCAAAGTGCGTAACATGATTACTTAAGAAGCTTTCAAAGCACATGAGATGCGGCAAGGGAGCTTAATTGAACTTTGAGCAGCATAAAGCTCTTTAAGACAATTTTCTGTGCATAAGCAAACTCTCTAAGAACTCAAGCTTTAATTAGCTTCTATAAAAGCAACTATTAAAGCTCAAAAAGCTCTTGATCGTAAAGCTTTAACAAGGCTTCTAGTTGATGGTTATCGATAAAGCTCTC